TTTTGATTCTTAGATTCATTGGATCAAGTATCTGTCAGTTCCTGTATTGTTATATTTTGATTCTTAGATTCATTGGATCAAGTATTAACGTTCTCCTGAATCTTGAAGATCTTAATTTCTATCCATATCCTGAATTTTATTTCTGTCATTTCAGCCATCTCAGCCTGATTAAGAGCCTTTGTTAGAGAACCAGTGTGGTCATTTGCAGGACAGAAGACACTCTGATCGTTTAAGTTGCTGGAGTTCTTGTGTTGATCCTTTCTTCTCTGTGTGTGGTATTCTTTTCAGTTAAAGCATTTTTATGGGCAGTATCCTTCTACTCCCTGTCCCTTCATCACCTCCAACTAGGCTTGTCAGATTTAGCAACAACTACTACAACAACAAAACAAATGAGACATACATGAAAAAAAAATCATTATTTAACTGAAATTCAAAGTCAATTGGGTGTCCTGTATTTTATCTGGCAACCTTAATTGCAGTACATTTAAACAATTGGCCCTATGCCCAGTGCACTGTAATAAATGGAAAATGACTTTTTGAATACAATGGAGAAGTAGAAAATTATAGAATACACAATATTAGCTTATCAACTAAGAAAAATCTTTCTTTTAAGTATTTTATTTGGTTCCAAATCATGCATTACAATACACAAAGCAGAAAAAGCAGAAAGAGGGTGAGTCATGAATGATGGGAAGATGTATATGTCTATTTCTCATTCAGGTGTCAAAGGATTAAAGCATTTCTTTCATAGTGTAAAGACACTAAAGGTAGAGGTGTCGAGGGTGGAAGAAATCTTAAGGATCATTTAAACTCTTTGAAGCTTTTATAGATGAAGAAAGCTCAGAGGAGTGTTAGAACTTGCCCAGTATCATATATGTACTCCCTAGTTCACCAGGACTGAAAACTAGGTGCTTTGACCTTGAAATCTTTGTTTCTTCTACTACACTAGGGGGCTGAGTCAATTATCAATAATATTGTATCTGAAAATGATGCAAAATTTTAAGAATGACTAAAAACCAAGCAATGCTAAATTTTTCTTCATCTGGTAAAACAAACAGAGATCTGAAATAAAAATTGTGATACATTTAAATTAAATAGTAGAAGGATTTTATTTTTGAAATATTATAGTATAATTTTGAATTTTAGACTAAAATAGTGAATTTTATTATAATTTTCAAAACACTTTTTTAGTCTTCTTTGAATTGCATGACTGGGAACAGTAAGGCAAAATAGTTTATGTAGGCTGAATTCTTCTTACCATGGTATATAACTTGGGGCTTTAAAAGATGATTGCTTAATTTATAAATGTTCTTCACAACATACAGTTCTACCATAAGATGAATTCTGCTTAAGCAACCATATTTTATAGTCTCTTATGTCACCACTCTTTTTCTAAATAGTATTTTATAAGTTTATAAAATATCGTATGTTACTAAAGTTACATTTCAAAATCTTACTTTTTCATATTGTTCTTTTCCAGGGAATGATGAATGTATACCCACATGCTGGAAAAGAGAAGGTTTATACCGAATACGTATTTGCTTATTTCTTTTTATACAGTTTCCCTGTGGAAAAAGAGAAACAACAATCTTCTGTAAAAACCCAGATATTGCTTTGTATTGCGTTTACTGATAGTAGAATTTTTATATATTAGTTTTTGCTAGAGTTCTATTTTCATATTTAAAAATATAAACAAAATATTTAATTCTTAGCTTTTTCTTCATAAGAATAGAGCAAAGGAGTTGGGGTAAAAAAGATTTTTGTTACAACGTGTATTTGCATGAACTCTGTCTTAGAAAACCAGCTTAGTGTTGTACCAACTATATTTCCTCTCCTTCTTTTAATTATAATAACTCAAATAAAATGCTTGGTATTTTTCTATCTATATCTGTCAGACTACAGTATTCTTTCACTTCCCATATTCATTGACTAATTTCTGTATTGAATTATATCACCTCAATTTCTTCTTAGAGAGTAAAAATGTGATATTAAAACAAAGAACCAATTTATAGTCAATGAAGAATAATCTGGATAATTTTCTCAAAAATGAAAATAAGAAGGATGACCTATAGAACCACTCCTATTAAAAACAAACATTTGAAGCCTGGGCACAGTGGCTCATGCCTGTAATCCCAGCACTTTGGGAGGCTGAGGTGGGAGGATTGCTCAGGAGTTTGAGACCAGCTTGGGCAATATAGTGAGACTCCATTTTCAAAAAACAAAAACAAAACAAACAATAAAAACCCCACAAACATTTGGAATAATTATGATCACTGAGAATTATTTTATAGGTTTTTATACATAGAAGATTCAGAAAAATAAATCTAAAATTTATATATATAGTGATTTTTTACATAACAGGTTTATTTAGATGCATTTCTACCCAGTACTAACACATAGGAAATATTAACAGTTTCTCTTTTAACTGTAAAGTAATTTAATGGTTTAGAGTGAATTTAATTTGAAATTAAATTAGCATCAGATAAAATTGGTTGAGGAGTTACAGTTTAGCATATAAAATAATGGCTTGGTAAATACACCCTCAAAACAAACTGTTGATAAAGCTGAGCTTATTTCATATTGCCGTAAGGACAATCATTACTTTTATGGAGTCTGGATAGTGTCTGTTCAAATCTTTTGCCCTTTTTAAAATTGAGTTGTTTGTTTTGAGAGTTCTATACATATACTGAATACATGTCCTTTGTTGGATATGAAATTTACAAATATTTTCTCCTAGTCTGTGGTGTCTTATCATCCTCTTAACGGTACCTTTTTGCAGCACAAAAATTTTTAATTTTGATGAGGTCCAATTTATCAATTTTTTAAAATGCTTTCAGTGTCATTTAAAAAAAATTTCACCCAGCCCTGGGTCCTGAACATTTTTTCTATATTTTCTTCCAAGAGTTTTAGTGTTTAGATAGATGATTTTTTGTATTTAGATAGATGATTTATTTTGAAATAATGTTTGTATAAAGTGTGAGGTTTAGGTTGCAGTATGGTTGAGAGATAGGGCACCAATTGATCCAGTAAACATTTGTGATAAGATTATTCTTTCTCCATTGAATTGCATACACTTCTTTGTAAAATATCAGTTGGTTATATTTTGTGGGCCTATTTCCGGACTCTATTCTGCTCCATGGACCTCTATGTTTCTCGTTTTGCCAATAAAGGTGGCTTGTCTTGAATACTGTAGCTTTATCGTAAGCTTTCAGATTGAATAATGTGATTTTCCCAACTTTATTCTGCTTTTTCAAAATTATTTTAGTTGATTTATTTCCTTTGTCTTCTCTTAAAAATTCTAGAGTCAGTTTTGGTAGAATACCTACCAAAAAATTTCTGCTGGGATTTTGATTAGAATTGTATTAAATCCATAGACCAATTTGGGGAACATTCATACCTTTACTAGGTTGAGCTTCCCAATCTATGATCATGGTATGTCTCTCTATCCCTTTCATTAGCATTTTAAGGTGTCCAGCATATAGACAATGTACATATTTTGTTAAATGTATACACATACAGATACATAAATATTTTATATATAATGTTTTTAAATATTGTAAGTAATTTTGAAATGTTGGTGAGACCATTTTTCTCTTTGTCCCCACCCAAAATTTCATGTCAAATTGTAATTCTTATGTTTCAGGGGAGGGAGTTGGTGGGAGGTGATTGGATCATGTGGGTAAATTTCCCCCATGCTGTTCCCATGATGGTGAGTGAGTTCTCATGAGATCTAATGGTTTTGTGTGTGGCAATTACCCCCTGGCTTTCTCTCGCCTGCTGCTATATAAGACGTCCCTTGTCTCCCTTCACCTTCTGTCATGATTGTAAGTTTTCTAAGGCCTCCCTAGTCATGTAGAACTGTGAGTCAATTAAGCCTCTTTTCATTATAAATGACCCAGTCTCAGGTAGTTCTTTATAGCAGTGTGAAAATGGACTAATACATTTGGTTTTCAACGTTTCATTGCTTTTTGAGGAAAAATGATGGATTTTTGTGTGTATAGACCTTGTATCTTGCAACTTTGCTCAAAGTCATTTATCAGTTCTAGGATGTGTGTGTGTGTGTGTGTGTGTGTGTGTATTCTTTGTGATTTGCTGCATAGACAATCATGGCATTTGCTTTTCAATTCATGTGCCTTTATTTTTCCCTTTATTGCACTACTTTGAACTTCCAGTAAAAGGTTGAATAGGAGTGGTGAGGATGGATATGGTTACTTTTTTCTTAATCTTAGAGAGAAAGCATCCAGTTTTCAACAATTAAACATGAAGTTGGCTATGGGATTTCCCTAGATGCTCTTTAACATGTCAGAGAAGTTTCTTTCTATTCCTAATTGGCTGGGAGTTTTTATCATGTATGAATTTTGAATTTCATCAAATAATTTTTCTGCATCAGTTGATATTATCATGTGGCTTTTCTTCTTTAGAATCTTAAATTGATGGGTTACACTGTATGATTTTTAAACATTAAACCAGTTTTGTGTTCATAGGATAAATACCAATTAGTATGGTGTATTTTTCTTTTTACATATGGCTAGATTCAATTCACTGTTACTTGGAAGATTTTTCTGTCTATATATTTGGGGGATATTTGGTCTTGGTTTCCTTTCTCGCTCTGTTTTTGTCTGGTTTTCATGTCATGATAATGCCGGCCTCATGAAAAGAATTGGGATGTACCTTTTCCTCTTCTATTTTGGAGAAGATATTATATACAATTGTTATTATTTCATCTCCATTTAGTAGAATACACCTTTAAACCCTTTGGATGTAGAAATTTCCTTTTGAGGATTTAAAATAATAATTTAATTTCTTTAGTAGATATAGGACTACTCAGGTTACCAATTTCAGTTTGGATGAGTTTTGGTAATTTACAATTTTTGATGGATTTCATTTTCAAGTTGCTCTTTGAATATGCAAGGAAGTGCCTGCAGTATTCCCTTATTATCCTTTTGGTATCTGTGGAGTATGTTGTGGAACTCCCACTTTCTTTCTAATGTTGATAAGCTGTATTTTCTTGTCACTCTTATTAGAAACTTAGCAGTTTTATTGCTCTTTTTTAAAAAATTACCTTTGGGTGTTATTGGTTTTCTCTGTTATTTTTATGCTTTTAATTTTCTGTTTTCTTTTATTATTATTATTTTCTTCCCTCTCTTCCTTTACCTTTTGTTTTGCCCTTCTTTTTCTAGTTTGTTAATGTAGAAGTTGAGATTATGAATGTGAGATCTTTCTTCTCTTCTGAGATATAGATTTAAGTCTATAAGCTTTCTCTCTAAGCAGTGCTTTAGCTGCATTCCAGAAATGTTGAAACATTGTATTTTCATTCATTTCAAAGAGTTGTCTAATTTCCTTTAAAACTTCTTCCTTCATCTAGGGCTTATTGAGAAGTGTGTTGTTTAATTATCAAGTGCTTGAGATTTTTCAGTTATCTTTATGTTGCTGATTTCTAATTTGATTCCATTGTGGTACAAGAACATACATTTAAAAATTATTTCAATTTAAATTTGTTAAGCTTTGTTTTATGATCCAAGATGTGGCTATTTTGGTGAATGTTGTATCTGGTTTTTTTTAGAGAATGTATTTCTTACTGTTATTGGATGTAGTGGTTTTTAACTGCCAATTAAATCCACTTGACAGATGGTGATGTTCAGTTCTTTTATCTCCTTGCTGGTTTTCTGCCTATCAGTTCTGCTGATTACTGAGAGAGAGAAGAGTTGAAATCTCCAACTGTAATTGTAGATCAATGTATTTTTTCTTTTAGTTCTGTCAGTTTTTGCTTCATGTATTTCAAGACTCTGGTGTCTTCTTGGTAAATTAACCCTTTTATTATATATAATATCTTTCTTGATACCTAGACTGTTTTTTTTCTTTGCTTTTAAGTTTATTCTGATATTAATATAGCTACTATAAGCTGGGCATTGTGGCTCACCCCTGTAATCCCAGCACTTTTGGAGGACAAGGTGTGATGGTTTGAGCCTAGGAGCTTGAGACCAGCCTGGGCAACATGGCGAAAGCCTGTCTCTGCATAAAATACAAAAATTAGCTGGGCATGGTGGCATGTACCTATAGTCCCAGTTACTGAGGAGGCTGAGGTGGGAGGATCACCTGAGCCCAGGGAGGTTGAGGTTGCAGTGAGCTGTGATTGTGCCACTGCAATCCAGCCTGGGCTACAGAATGAGTCTCAATAAATAACTAAATAGCTACTACTGCAAATCTCCTTTGATTTGTGTTTGTATGGTGTATATTTTTTTCATCCACAGTTTTAACCTATCTATAATATTTGAACTGAATATTGACTTTAGTGGTGGCATCATTTAAAAAATTGACTCTGACAAACTCTTAATAGTGTACTTTAATCATTTATATTAATGTAAGTATTGGCATGTTTGAATTTATGTCTACCATTTTTTTCTGTTTGTTCACTCTGTTTTTGATCCTCTGTTTCAACTTTTCACTACATTTTAGGGGTCTCTCATTACTTCATTTAACAGGTAGAAAGATCAAAATTGGGGATATTAGAAATTTAAAAAATTGATGTATTTATCAGATTTGGTTTGGTAAACAAATTTTAGGTAATTACATTAGATAATATTTTTCCTAAAATATTTTTTATTCGTAAAGTAAATGAATACTCACAAGATCTTCTCCTGTGTCACACACCTTTACCTGAAAAATGTCATTCAGGAGCCAGTCTATGGGTTTCTCTTTGTAGAACATTAAAAAAAACCGTACAAAGTGAGTTAAGTCCTCAGATCTAAACAGCTTTCCTATGGGAAAAAATATAATTAGATGCAAATAATTCATATATAGTTGTTCATTCCTTTAACATGGGAAAAAAGCAAAAGTTATTAAAATTTAAATATGTCCCATTCCTTAGCACTAAAGATTAAAGCACTACTGAAGTTGGACAATGATAAAATTGAACACTATATCTGCTTAAGTATCAAGAATTACCACATCTGAAGGAGAATATAAGCAGGTTTAGAATAGTCAATACTCTCAGGAAATCAATTGTGATAACTAATGCGGATCGATTGCCTAAATCAAGTGAAAGATAAGTGAATAGAATGAAACATATAGGCGCTGTAATCTTTTACTTAATTTCGTACAAACTGTATTTTTTACCTGATTTTTGTAGCACTTTATTAATCTACCACATTTTTCATTTTTACTACTTAATTTTATTAAAGTACTCTCTTTATTTCAATATTTGAGAATTGTTTTAACAGGATGCTTTTTTCTTTATATATATATGTGTGTGTGTATATATATATGTGTGTGTGTGTGTGTATATATATATATATATTTTTTTTTTTTTTTTGAGTCTCACTCTGTCGCCCAGGCTGGGGTGTAGTGGCCGGATCTCAGCTCACTGCAAGCTCCGCCTCCCGAGTTTATGCCATTCTCCTGCCTCAGCCTCCCGAGTAGCTGGGACTGCAGGCGCCCGCCACCTCGCCCGGCTAGTTTTTTGTATTTTTTTTTAGTAGAGACGGGGTTTCACCATGTTAGCCAGGATGGTCTCGATCTCCTGACCTCGTGATCTGCCCGTCTCGGCCTCCCAAAGTGCTGGGATTACAGGCTGGAGCCACCGCACCTGGCCTATATTTGTTATTCTTAAAGATTTACTATATTTTAAAATATTATTCCATTAGGTCTAATAATTTTTTTCTAATATGCTGCATCTTTAATTTTAAAATGAAGTTGAAGGGATAAGATTCAGGTACATATTCACTTCAAAGTAAATAATGTAAAATACATCTAATGATTTGATAAATATGAAAGTAGGATGTAAGCATGCTTCATTCTTCACTAGGACTTGAGTTTATACGGGTCACTTACTAAAATGTATAATTGTATTTTAATGTTTTGCACCCATTTGTATAGTGACCAAAGCAAGTGATTTAATGATGTATAAAATAGCTGATTCAATTCCTAACCTGCTGTCACCATGCTGTAAAATTCTAGTTGGCAAGCTCATATTTTTAGCAAATAATGAATAACCGAATTATGATAACTAAAAGCAAAACTTTTGTAAGTTTAAGCTTGAATAAGATTTGGCATCCTGTAAATAGTGCACCTTGTTCAATGTGCTCTTGTGATCAGAATGTAAGTATTCTCTATGTGTCTCCTACTTGACTTCGCTGAGAAAGTAAATTTTTTTGAGAATTTTAAGTTCTCAGACTAATCCATCAGCAAGATTATTTTGTCTCCATGCTTTTCATTGGGTATTATTGTTAACAAAAATTTTCCTTCTTATTTTAAAAAAGGCTGAGGAAAAACCTTTGGGCCCTTAAAATTTTACAGAAAACATGAAACACAAAAGTCATCGAGTGAGTATATGAAAAACAGATGGACCTTACCAGCAATCCCAGAAATGCTTTATACTGAGAATGGTAAATATATGCATATAATAATAGATAAAACCAAGTGTTGTCAAGCATATGGGGAAGCACGAACTTTTATGCACTGCTTATGAAAGCATAAACCGCCGGGCGCGGTGGCTCACGCCTGTAATCCCAGCACTTTGGGAGGCCGAGGTGGGCGGATCACAAGGTCAGGAGATTGAGACCACGGTGAAACCCCGTCTCTACTAAAAATACAAAAAAAAAAAAAAAAAAAAAAAAAAAAAAATTAGCCGGGCGCGGTGGTGGGCGCCTATAGTCCCAGCTACTCAGGAGGCTGAGGCAGGAGAATGGCCTGAACCCGGGAGGCGGAGCTTGCAGTGAGCCAAGATCGCGCCACTGCACTCCAGCCTGGGCGACAGAGCGAGACTCCGTCTCAAAAAAAAAAAAAAAAAAAAAAGATAGCATAAACCATATAACCAATCTGTAAAGCAATCAGCAGTACTTAGAGCTATGTGAATCCTCAGCGGTCCACTCCAGGGGACATATACGTCACTTCATTTTTTCATGGTAGCAGAACATTGGAAGCAATTAAGGTCTGCCACTCAGGAAATAGATAAACCAAATGTGAGTGATAAGTGATAAGTCACTTCTTTCAAAGTTCTTTGGTGAGTGGTCACTGTGCATCCAGTATTTAGTCCACTTGTAGACAGCAAAATGTGTGGTTGTCTTGCCTTGCTTTCCGGTGATAAATCCACATGACATTTAACAAAAGTAGGTCATCAAAAGAAGGGACTGACTGGATGACAGATGAAAGCACAGCAAGTGAACGCTGGAAGTGAATTTGGATGTGACTATAAGACAGCTGATCGTGGGATTGTTGATGTAAAGAAATTAAAAGCAGGTTGCAGTTTTATATGCATGACCTCTATGTGCAAAACTGGTAGTCCTCACTGCACAATTCTGAATGCAGAAATTTCAGTGGCCATCATTATGCAGCACTTACGCAACAGTAAAAAAACCAATAAACTAAATGAACATAAAAAAATGCTGATAGTTTAGAAATCAAGTTTTGAGGACAAAAATGTAAGGAATAGGAATATACAAATATGAAAAGCATCAAATAATTTACATGGATATTGTATATTTATAAGTGTATTTTGAACATATTAGAGTGAACAATATATTGAAGAATGGCAGGAAGTGGGTGTAGGGATTGGGAATGAAAGAAAAGAATAAATAAGAGTTCCTGCATGAATCAATAACGTCATGTACCATAAAATGAGGAGTATGGTAACTTAACTTGGGGCCTTGAGGTTCAAAGGAAAGAAAAAAGCATGGAAGTGAAGAAAGAAAAATTGAAGAATTTGAAAGGAAAATCTATGGAAGAATAGTAAAAAAAAAAAAAAAAAAATCTCTTTATGGACACAGTATTTGGAAATTTTCTGCGGTGGGTATAATTCCTCTTATGTTTTTACATTTTTTAAGACTGCCAGCTTTAGCATACTGGAAATTGCAGCAACTGAGTTAAAATCCCTTTCTCTAAAATTTTAATTATCTGAGTTTCAGTATTCTTATAAAGCAGAGAAAAGTGCGTCTTAGCCACTGAGCTAACATGTGTGCCAGACTCACAGCAAGCACTTAATAAATGGTAACTCTTTTATGCTTCTATAACGTAAGTGTCTAAATGTCAATTTTATCTCTCTAGAAAAAAGTTTGGTTTAAGAAAACACATCTGGAATTCAGGTACTTGTATCTGATTATACTGTTAAGATATTCATGTCTTTATAAAAATCATGCCATTCTTTTTCCTTTAGTAATAAACAAACTGATAAACTCTTTTAAATGTTTTAAATTATTGTGTGCTAAAAAACTTGATCCAACAAAGTAGATCTATTGCTTACCTATGAATCCAAGCATTGAAAACTCAATAAAAAACCAATTATTTGAACTGATGTTACCTACAAAATCTGTTATTTTTGTAAAGTACATCTCTTTAGCTATGATATCATCTTCTAGCTGAAAAAAAAACCCCAAAAGACATTAGTACCTTCGACGCTTTCATTGAGTAAGCTACATTAACTTGAAAATAAAAAATACAATAGAATATACTGAAGAAAATGTTTTTTATAAAATAATAATTTTATTTCAGTTTCAATTAATTGAAGGTATCTACAGTTAGTTGATCTCCTTTTTTTTTTTTTTTTTTTGACAGGGTCTCACTCCATTACCCAGGCTGGAGTGCACTGGCATGACTGCAGGCACGTGCCGCCTGCCTAATTTCTATATTATTTGTAGAGATAGGGATTTACCATGTTGCCCAAGCTGGTTTCGAATTCCTGGGCTCAAGTAATCTTCCTGCCTTGGCCTCCCAACTCCTGGGCTCAAGTGAGCCTCCTGCCTTGGCCTCCTAAAGTGCCGAGATTACAGGTATGAGACACCGTACCCTGCTCCATGTTTGATTCTGAGATTAACCAGACAAGAAATTATCTGTTTCTTTCCTAAATACTAAACATTCCGTCTAAATCCCTCTTTGAAAGAGTCTCTTTATCTAAATCCACTTTCATCCTCACAAATACTTCAGTTTCTAGTTTAGAACTGTCTTAGTCCATTTGAGCTGTTATAACAAGATACCATACGATGGGTAGTTTATAAACAACAAACAGTCCTGGAGCCTGGGAAGGCCAAGAACAAGGTGCTAGCAGGCTTATGTCTGCTGAGGGCCCATTCCTCATACATGATGGCTTCCACTGTATCCCCACACAGTAAAAGGGGCCAGCTAGCTCTCTGAAGTCTCTTTTACAAGGGCACTAATCCCATTTATGAGGCTCTGCCTGCATAATCTAATTGCCTCCCACAGGTTCCACTTCCAAACACTATCATCTTGGGGGTAAGAATTTTAACATATTAATTTTGGGAGGGAGGCCAGGAGCTGTGGCTCACGCCTATAGTCCCGGCACTTTGGGAGGCTGAGGCAGGCAGATTGCTTGAGCCCAGGAGTTCGAGACCAGCCTGGGCAACATGTCTAAACCCTGCCTATGTAAAAACTACAAAAAATTAGTCGAGTGTGGTGATGTGCACCTGTAGTCCCAGCTACTTAAGGCTTCAGTGAGCCATGATTGTGCCACTTCACTCCGACCTGGGCGACAGAGCAAGACATTGTCTCAAGAACAAAACAAAACAAAAATGAAACGTTGGGAGGCTTTGGGAGAGATGCGAACATTGAGCCCATAGCTAAGACGAAGGAGCTTCATGCTCCTGATGAAAGGTGCCACGTTCTAGCTCCAGATATTGTGACTGACAAAGTAGTTCCCAGCAAAGAGAAGACAAAAAGCAACCGGCTGTCTCACCCACAACTCCACAACTAGCTGGTTAGAGTCATGGGGTAAGCCTAAAAATATCCTCCATAAGAAAGAGAGGGCAATGGAAATGAGCTTTCTTTTTTATTTAATATATATTATGCATAATCTGTAGACGAAGAGAGCCTCATAAGTAAAAAAGAAAAATGTGGCCGTCCTCAGGCACACTATGAGGACACAGAATAGAACTGTGGTGTTTCAAATTGGGAAGAGTACATTGGCCGGATCTTGTGTTTTCATGACATTGCCATTAACTAGGAATCAAAAGGGACCTTTTTTTTTTTTAATTCCAATAAAAGAAAAGACCTTGCTTTAGGCCTTTCTCTAACTTTCTCTCTAGTCTAGAACTCTCTTCTGCAAATTCTTCCAATAAGTGCACATTGTCTATGTAGTGAGGTCCATACTTACTATTTAGAAACACAACATTATTATTTAACCATGTACAAGGATTTAGAAGGTACAAACTATATATAATTGATTCACTTTTACAAATACAGTAAGACACTGAGAACTGTGTTACTCATAAAGTATGAGTAAATTTAGGGTAGCAATGATACGTGTATATACAATGTCTGACAAATGCTCAAAATACATTTGCTTAATCTAGTAAAATTGTAAGCCAAGAAATAAATATAGGCGCTACAATTTCTTTTTGTTTTTTGAGATTTTCTTTTCAGTTTGCTTCAGGTAACTATAATTTTCTCTATAACCGTGAACCTAGTAAGAATATTCATATATAATCGATTTTAAACTTCCTTTGCCTTTTTATTACAGTGAGTATTTTCTATTTTCTGAGCATAAAGTATGGTGGAGGAACACAATGAGGAAGAAGAAATTATAGGAAGGAGGGAGAAAGTAACACTTTCAATTTAAATTATATCTATCTACAGATATAGTTGGTGTGTACATATATGTGTGTGTATATATATATATAAAAAATTGATTATATATGAATATTCTTACTAGGTTCACGGTATATATATATACACACACACACATATATATACACACACACATACACACCCCAATTTCTTACCTGTAAATAATACTTGGCCTTGGGTTGGGCATACAGCATCAAAATGCAAAAATCTAATACTTGCTTGATTCGCCAACTAAAGGTAATCAATAAGATCTGTTAATATTTGTCATTATTATTTAATTTTTATTTATAAGAATAGTAATTAAAAACTCTTTGGCAATTTACTAACAGAGTACTAGCTATAATTAAGTAATTAATTTTACTTAATTAATTTCAATTAAGTAAAATTGAATATACTTATACTAAAAAGTTTTCCATCTTTATTCAACGAACAGTGTCTATCATTGCTAAATGAGGATAAGCACAACCCATTTGTTTTACATTTTTATCTAGGTAAGTTTTGATCTAGATAATAGTGTTAATATTCTTTCTGATTTTAGGTCTTGTTTAAATGAAAGTATAAAGAAACTTTACTCTTTTTTTCAATGTCTCTCCTAATAGCTTTCTTTATTGATTCTATCATCCAAGAGTTTTCTCCCCAATTCTTAGGGTTAACTGTCTGCTACAGAGTATTAATATTTCTTTTTATGGGTCTTTAAACCATTTCCCCTAAGTCTTATCCCTCGGTTTACTTGGAAGGGAAAGGTTGCTTTTTTTGTTTTTATTTTGAAAGTAGTCTCCACAAGCCTCTGGAACTCTTCATGGCCTCTTGAAGAAACCCAATGTAACTCCCTTCACAAGTTGACTTTATGTTTGGCCACACATTGCCCCAACTCTCCCAATCCTAGGGAAATGGAGTAATTATATGAATTACTACTCTCCAGCTGATTGATTGTAGCCAGATTTGGGGCAATTTGAACTCTAGGGAGTCACATATTTTGAATGATAACTGAAAAGAATTAGAGAATTATAGAAAAAAATGGCAGATAGGAGACAGGACTAATGTGCATCTCCTGCTTGGCCAGACAGAACAGTGCCTGGAGACGCACATTGTGAACGTTTGCTCCGAGAAACACTACAGGAACATACCAGGAAAACCTAAAGAATTCACAAACTCTTTGAAAGAACTGACTTGACACTGCAAACTCCGTGAGATGGCAGAAAAACTGCGAGTTCCCAAAGTGTAAGGGGAGAAATGTTGGCCTCCATACACACATCCCCACTGGGGAACCTGAAAATCCAGATCACAGGAGAAGGATTTAACCTTACTCTAGTAGAGCTGAAATGGATTTAGGGAGCCAAGAGAAATATAAAAGTAGAAGCAGTGGGAAGAGCCCTGTAGGCACTCCTGGTCCCCAGCTCCAGACCAGGGACGTCATTCCTGGCCTTATCTCACAGAGTTCCTTGGAGAAGGGAAGGCAGCCAGTGGAATTGGGGATGGGCCACAGGGTGAAGGAAATTCCTAGCTGAACTTTGTAATAATTTTGACTGAGCACAAATTTTCTTGAGCATAATCTGGAGGCAGGGTGAATGGGGAGTGCAGATATGAGCACAGAAGCCGCTGCCAAAGGTGTGGGCAGGCAGGGAGGGGTGAGGCATGAGAGCCCTGCTTGCTTTCTTAGTGGGGAGGCTTGTAGCCTGGGGCAAGAGCTCATCCCTGCTCATAGGGCTGCCTGGATATAAATTCACCCAAAGTAACTTTATTCTCATACAAAGCTAGATACCAGGCCAGGTCCTGAATATACAAAGAGCAGTACCCAAAGTTATTCTTGCCCTTCTGAGTCGCATAACCTCCTATGAAAATAGTAACAATAATAATAAAAATAATAAAATTACAACAATTGGATAAGTGCTATATGAAGATATCAACAATGTTGGCTATCTTACAGTAAGTTTTCAAAGATGTGGAAAGGGTAGAAGAGCATGCCACTTAATTTTAGGGCACAGAGAGCTGACAGAAAAAAGTTGATGATTGCAAGGTTGGCAGAGACCAGATCATGAATGACATTTTCTGATATGTGGGAAACTTTGGACTTGATCTCATATGAGAAAATAGTCTTCTGGGTATAGCGTGAAGAATGGATTGTAAGAGAGGCTAGGTTAGGCTAGGATTAGGGACTCTGTAATGGTGAAGGCCTGAACCAAATCCAAGCCAATGGAAGGAGGATGAGAGGGATAATGTGTAGAGAGATTTTAAAAAAGAAACAATGACAGAGATATAAAAGGCTGAAGGAAAAACAAGGATCCAGGATGACTTCCAGCTTTGTGACTTTAAAAACTGGGCATAATGTGGACCACTAATTAAAAGCAAAACAAAACACTTAAAAGATTACTAGATTCCAACACACTATTTATAATTTTAAAACAAAAGAAGACTAATCGGTTTCCTGGGATAAGGCCTTTTTCTAATTTCTGGCATGTTTTTTTCTTTATTAAGTTTTGAGGGACCAAATTATTACATTTCCCATAATACCTACCACACTAATACCCCAAATTATAATCCTTTGTATATGTATGGAGCTTTTAATTTTTTAAGATTCTTTCATAAATATATTTTATTCTTGTAATGACTCTTGCAATAATGCAATGTAGGTGTCATTATATACACTAGAAAGTTAGGAAAGCTAAGGGAAAAAAAGGTGAAACTACCTGCCTATAATGACCAGCAAACAGAACAGCTGGGACTAGAATCCAGCTGTAATGATTTATAATCACAGGCTCCCCCTCTCCTCATTATGCCTTACTAATTATCGTCTATAAACGTGAACACAGACCATCAGTGGTGTGCTGGTAAATATTTAACAACTGACTTGGGGGTGGAGGGATGGACATCTTGCTTTGTAGCCTTTGCCCATTTCCATGGTGTAAATACTCCTACTGTGGTTCATGCTATCAACTCGATGTTATTGAACACAGAGTTGGGAAGTGATGCACATAATTGGGTCTTGCAAGCCAGTAGAAGCCAGCTCCAGATCACCACTGTGTCTTAAATAGTTTCTAGTATGAGCTGATTCCAAGATTTTATCAGATGAAATTAGTTATTTAAGGCTACTATTTTCTAATATGACATACCTGGCTAATTTTTGTGAGGCCTCAGCTAAGTGCTTGGCATTTAACATACTTGAGTATAAAAAGGCAGGTATTGAAATGACCTCTAAGGATCCAGACCTCACTTGCCTTTTGAATCTATAAATAGAAGTAAATGCAGACTTATAATTGAATATTTAATTTTCCAGAATAATATACTTAAAAATAATTTTCTTATGCATGTTTACATAGTATTTGATTTGAATTATATCACATGTTGATACATGATACCAGTATCATAAAACTAGCCAAAGGATGTTTTCTATAAATTAATAACAGACATATTAAAATACACAACGTAAAATCAGTTTCTTCTTATAAAAATTACAGGTACTTTGACTTTTTAAAGTTTCCAGTCAGATGTGTACTGTGACATTTGAAACAACGAAGCTTATGGGTTGTGATAACACAGTCACTGCAAGACAGCAAGAACATTAGATCATTTTTAAATGCATAATTTTGAATTGATTAAGAGTCCCACTGAATAGCAACATGGCTCCTGAGACTAGATTATCACAGCAAGCAAGGATTCAGTCAGACTCTCGTCCACAACTCATTGGAGGACTATGTATACTCTTTAGCATCTTTGTTTTTAAACGTTAATGTTGAGAGACCAACAAGGACATCACTAAACTACATAAAATATGATTCACAAAAATTCCAATATCACGAGGTCAGGAGATCGAGACCATCCTGGCTAACACGGTGAAACCCCGTCTCTATTAAGAAATACAAAAAACTAGCCGGGCGAGGTGGCGGGCGCCTGTAGTCCCAGCTACTCGGGAGGCTGAGGCCGGAGAATGGCGTGAACCCGGGAGGCGGAGCTTGCAGTGAGCTGAGATCCGGCCACTGCACTCCAGCCTGGGCGACAGAGCGAGACTCCGTCTCAAAAAAAAAAGAAAAAAAAAAAAAAAAAAAATTCCAATATAAATCTTGTACCATCAAGGTAAAGGATGGGAAACCAACTAGAAAATTTTAAATGGTCTTCCTTTAGAGCTAATGTGATTTTAAATGAGACTGGAATTTAGGCATTACATTATTCATTAACATGTTAAAAGTTCAAGGAAATGTTTATTTTGTACTATGTAAAAAATTTAAAAGGTTACAGTTTTATATGTGTAATCTCCATTATGTGCAAAATAGGCAGTCCTTGCTTTGCACAATTCTGAATGCATAAATTTTAGTTACTGTGTTTTAGTTAAATGACACCAGTCTCCCGCAACAACACTGTAGTCATGATATATTGTGAATAATTGTGTAAAGTACAAACTTCACTGCTAGCTCTTTAGTGCACAAATCACTATATAAATAGCAGATGCACATCATCATTAGTGACTAATTGGATCACTTCTTTCAAAGTCTTTTGGTGACTGGTCTCTGTACGTCTGCTATTTAGTTCACTTGTTGACAGCAAAACATGTGGTTGCCTTGCCTTGCCTCCCAGTGATAGGCCTACATGATATTTAACAAAAGTAGGTAATCCAAAGAGGGAAGTGGCTGACAGATGAAAGTGCAGAAAGTGAATGCTGGAAGTGAATTTGGATGTGCTATAAAAGAGCTGATCACGGGAACGTTGACACCTCCTCTGTCTGAGAGACTCTAGAGATGCAACAAAGGGAACTTAGTGAAAGTGAACTTAAATGACAAATAAGAAAAATGGTTGTGGTGAAATTATGTCACATAGGAAATGATGCTGCTGAAAAACTTCACATTAAAGGAACTCTCAGAGATATTTCATGACACTGAAAACGCAAATGATAAAATGCTGTAACTGATCCAAACTTAGAAACGAATATAACAATTTGCTGAAGCATAGAAAAGACATTTGCTCAGTGTTTTAAGTTCTATGATAAGAAAAAGGCAAGGACAATTTAAACGACTCTTGATAAAATTTTTAAAAGAAATCAAATACTTTAATACTCAATAATTTTAATGTTTTAAATTACAGTGTAATAAATTAGCTTAACAATATTTTAAAGTTTTCTATGTATTTATAGTTGACAGAGAGTAATGTTTTAACACATGTTTAAATGTCATGGAACAATTGTGATTTTTTCCCCATTGTTAATATTGGCTTGCATGGTTTAAACCTGCACAATCATTTTTATGGCCCCACGCTATCTTGCAAATCAAGGATTGCCTGAGCATGTATAAAGACACACAAACACAAATGGAAGAAAGCTCATGTTTTATAATGGGTATGTACCATGAAAATGGGGTTGGAGTAGCATACTGTGCTAGAGATAATATACGGGTATTAGACCTAGAAAAGTCTCTGTGCCAATTTTGCTTCTTTTACTTCCTAACTTCGAGCAAGTAATTTATTTTTTCTATCTTTAATTTCCTCATCTGTAAAACTGGAATAGCAACTTAAAAACTTTGGGGGGAAAGAACTGTTCAAAATACATGCTGGAATTCTTCCAGGCTCTATACATTAGTGGAAAAGTTTCTGGTCATTTATTTTGGTGGGAGTGTAAGTGGAGGAGTGAAAGGGATCAAAGTCTTACCGGCTGCCCTCTGATTTTATGATATATCAAATGAAAAGGTTTTTAAGAAATGAATTCTAATATGTTCCTTGGGGAATAGAAAATACTGGTATGGAAAAAAAGAATGGAGAGTTTGGTTGGTTGTTTTGTGGTAAAAGTTAGTAACATGATATCTAAATTTTCAAATGAATTTGTGTAACTTTAAACTACAAGATCTCGTGCAGCAATTTAGTACTGGTAAAGGGAAATAACATCAAGTTGCAGCATACACAATCATCAAAAAGTTTAGATTACAGAAATACACGAATTTTGATCTCTAGAAAATTCCATCCAAAGTCCAAAAAGCACCAAAAGATACAACAATTTCTACTTTGATGATATAATTTCCCAGTCACGATGGAGAGAAAGATTCCAGTCTTGGTTTTATTCATATTTTTTAAGCAAGATACTGGAAATTTTGTGTGTTGACACCTTTCTAGGACTCTAAAACTTTTATAGCTTGTTAGGTTATTCATATACAGCATCAAAAGCCCTTGACTTAACTATATGGGAATTGCTAGTTTCCAATGACTGGAGAAAATAATATAACTCTAGGTTGTTGCCATTGAAAATGAATGATTTTACCTTATAGTCATACAAGAGTAGAAATCTTACAACTCTATAGGTTTATGTAAAGTACATAGTTATATACAGTTTCATATAAGGTTATATACAAACATAGATGGGTCCTTTAAAAATTATATTTTCAATTTAGGACTAATCCAAACATAGAACAATCTCTCATTACCCTAATGAGAAGATCTAGGAAAAGGGTTTTTAGCTAAATTAAATAGGCAAAAGTTGAGACACGTAAATTTAAAAGTTATATGTCTATATTATCTTAGATAATGTTTTAAATTGAATATTCACTGTGTTAATTTTAAATTATTGCTTTATTCTACTTTCACAAAAATAATTTTATTCCAACTGTTTATTCTGCATTGGTATTATCAATATAATTATCACCACTAGAATCACTTTTTGAATCACCCGACATAGTTTTCCAGTATCCTTGATTTTCAATTCTAATTACAATACAGCAATTTCTAAAACCAGTGACATTGTCTCTGAAAATTTTGTAGCAAATCAGAAGTATTCTCATACATTAGGTAACGTTTTCATTGGAGATCTTTACAAGTAACCACATACTCTAATTTTTTTAAGTGATCTTCAAAAGGCTTACAATGATGTAGTCATATACCCAGGAATCGTTTTACACCTTTGCTTCTTTTTAATTGATTATGTCAGGAGTCTCCTATAAGAATACCAAACTAGCATAGATTGAGGCCACTTCAGGATAATGTGTCTTCTCTAAATAGTAGTTTATTATTCAGAATAAAGCAAAATAACTGAGAAGGCATCCTTGACTAGGAGAAGATTTTTAAGGGTTCAAGTATAAGGTAACTTTTTTCCTGGGGAGTCTTTCAGGGGAAATACTAGATGTGTATGATGTTTTATTTAGTCTTTATTTAATCCCTCTCCCTTCACATAAATCACCTATTTCAAGCCTTCACTACCGTAAGTTCCTTCACTGTCAACAAATTCTTCCTTCTCAACACAGGGACTTACCTCCTTCACAGGGAAAAGAGAAATCTTTAAAAAAGGAATTTTAAGGTGATTACACTGTCTTTTCCCCAACAAATTAATTTTTCTACTCTTTCACCTGCTCTCATCTCCTCTTTGGTCTCAGTCCTGTCTAAAGCTCCCTCTGCCTGAGTCTCCAGTTCCCTCTTGCCTTGCTTCATCAGCCCCTCCTCTGTCTACTACAGCACAAGTACTCCAGGTGCTTCCACCTCAAAACCTCCCAAACAGTATTTGTCTCCCTCAAGACAGTGTGCTTTGATTTTTCTTCCTATCAGTTGAACTTACTGAGAATAGTCTACATTCAATTCTTTAAATATGTATTATAAAAACTACCAAACATCCACAAAAATAGAAATATAATGAACCCCATATCAGTTTCCTTCAATAAGCATTAATTTTCTGCCACGTTTGTTTCATCTATGCAGCTGCCCCTTTTTTGCTTATTTTAAAACAAGTGCTGAATATCATTTCGCCCTTACTTTCTTCAGTGTGAATATTAAAAAGGACATTTATTTCGATAACTACAATGCCAATATTCACACTTTGCAAAACTATAAATGATTATTTAACATCACGTAATACTTAGTCAATTTTCGAAAGTCCTCAGCCGTCTAAACAGTGCCTATTTTTGGGGAGTAGGTGCTCAAACAAGTACCCAAACAAGGTCGCTCATTGTAATTGATTATCCCTATTTCTTTTTAAAATTTATTATCTAGACCGGTAACCTTCATTTTTCTTTCTTCCCCCATCCCCATTCCACTTTTTAAAGAATCTGGATCAGTTTTCTACAGAAGGTCCCACATCTTGATTGTTTTGCCCCAGATGGCTTCCTTTAATTGCTGTGTATCCCGTAAACTGGAATTCAGCTCCTAAGGCTTGATTGCATTCAGGGTTTTTGGTTTTGTTCTGTTGTTTTGCTTAAGTCGGGAGAATAACTTTCAATAGTTCTTTCTTGGCATCATTTTCGTCGCCAGACTTTCAGCGACCCCGAGCTGCTGGAGGTGAGGGTGGGGTCCCTGAACCCTGGCTATTCTCAGCTCACACTGCATGTCGCACCTCACTGCTCCGCAGTGCGTCCTGACCTGCGGGGCGCCCTTGCTAGCGGGGTATCGGTTGGCCTCTGCCTGCGGGAAGCAGTAAGTGACAAGAGACTGGAAGGCAGTAAAAGCCGAGGACGCTCCTCCTCTTTCAGCTCCTGCGGCGGCGGAGGTTCCAGCTGCTGAGGAGGCCGACCTCCAGAGCCTCTGATCCCCGGGTTTAACGCCCTCTCCTTCACGCTGCTCTGTGCTCTTTCTTCTCCCTTCCGCACTCTCAGTCCTCTGAAACTTGTTTTGACCAATTGTTTGTGTGAAATTCCCTGTTTCCTCTAGTTGAACGACCAGGAGTTTTCCTGTGCGGACACTGAGAGGCATAACTTCCTCGTAAAGTTCCCCCCACCGTCTGACTTAAGGCCGCGCTTCAAAACGGTGATTCTCCAATTCCATTCATTCTACACTTATTAGCTGGAATCGTTTTGACTAGAACAACTAACTGCCTCAGACACTAGAGCTATTTGGTGAGGAAAAATAAAATAAGCAAAACACTTTACTGGCTAAACGAAACACGTGCCTGTCAGCCAGATTCAGCCTGAAGGCCACATTTGCAGCCCTGGTCTATAGCACAGAGTGCATCTTCCTTAGCATGGTGCATAGCCCCTTCGTGACGTCATCAGCCCCTGCCTTATCTCCCACCAGTCCTTCCGCCTTAACTCCAAATACCCATTTCCAAAATAGACTTTCATGTTCAAAAGTCTAGCATGCTCCTTCTTTGGTCTCTCCGTCTTCCCCAGCAATTCTATTTATCGGGCATGACCTTTTTCCCCTGTCTGCCTGAAGAATGTCTACTTATTCCTTCAGACTCTGCTCAGTTATTACCTTCTCAGGAAAGTCCTTCTTGATATTTGCAGGTAGAGTTAAATACTTCTTCCTCTACATGTTGTCATATTTATTCCCCATTACCACTGGGACAATGCTAGCCTCTTCCTTCCTTTCTTTATTTTATAATTTTTTTTTGAGACAGGGTCTCACTCTGTCAGGCAGGAGTGCAGTGGCATGATCTTGGCTCACTGAAGCCTCCATCTCCCAGGCACTGGCAATCCTTCCACCTCAGACTCCCTAGTAGCTGGGACTACAGGTGCACACCACAGGGCTCGGCTAATTTTGGGGGCTATTTGTTTTGGTAGAGACGGGGTTTGGCCATGTTGCCCAGGCTGATCTCGAACTCCTGGGCTCAAGCAATCCACCCACCTCGGCCTCTCAAAGTGCTGGCCTTACAGGTGTGAATCGCCATGCCTGGCCCTCCTTTTCCTTTCCTTTCTCCTTCCTCCCTCCCTCCCTTCCTTCCTTCCTTCCTTCCTTCCTTCCTTCCTTCCTTCCTTCCTTCTTTCCTTCCCTCTCTCTCTCTCTCTCTCTCCTTTCTTTTTGTTTCTTTTTCAAGTTGTATCACCCATTTGAACATAGGATTTGGGAGGCAGGGTCCATTCCACAGCATCTTGCTTGATAAAGAGTTTCATATTGGTTAATCCATATGTGTTTCGGCTGCTTACAGCTAAAGATTATAAGCAGAAGTGGTGAAGTAACTTCATACAGTAAAGGATACAGGAGTGTTTTAAAAATAACTCAATAGGCTTCTCTCATACCAATGGTTATCATGCAGGATAAACAGTATAACATGAAAAATATAAATTCTAATTGGTAGATATCCAGCAAAATTGGGGAAAACCATTAAGCCATACTTCATTACAGCTTAGAAAGGACTACAGGTTCTTTCTGCACAGCTATACTCATTAAAAGGAATATGATCACTAAGAAAATAATTATACAATTGGACAGAAAAAAAGACAGAAAAATGAAAGTGGCTAATTTAAAAATATATCAGACAGTACTTACTTTCTTGTAATCATTTTAACAACAGAATGTAAATAATCTTCATTACTCTAAAAATGAGAAACAATATTTTACTGATACTAAGCATGTCTCATAGTTCTATTAATACAACTTTTTTGTTACATATAAATCTAATTTGTGTGTGAAATGTTATTACATACTAATAATTTTAGTGTTTTTACTTTCTATTAAAAGATTTAAAAATATCCATGTTCTCAAAAAAATTTGACTTGAATACAGGAAATATTTCATTCTTTTCCCTTTGCCACCATGTGAAATATTACAATCCAAAATTTACCCTTAAAAGCTTACCCTTAAAATTATATACCCTTTAGATATATAAGATTACATAAAATATTATATATCTAAAGATGTTTCGGTCTAAAAATGGTCATCTATGAATGGCTTATTTCAAAGAACTACTCTTTTTGAAAACTACTCTTCCTTTCCTCAGTATTAAATGACAATAAGCTTACTTCAAAATTACATCATATTTCTCCAGACAGTATTACTCAGCTTGATTCCCATTTACCTTCCTGACAATAAACTTTGTGGGCCTGCTCTTCATTGAACAGTGTGCTAGATTAGATGACAGACTCCTGCAAAAAGCTTTTGATGGTTTACCCTCTTGGGATAATTTTTTAAAAAGTAACATGGCATTTACAAGATGTAGCCTCAGGGCCCATAAGCATTTCCAATACAAAATTTTGAAAATATTTTCAACAATGACAGTTCTATTGTTGAATCCGAGTACTCTAAAGGCAACTCTGGATGTATGTACTCAAGTTTCTTGTTTAAAAATATCAGACACGATGTAGATAAATCTATTATAGTACTGGAGGCTCTTAACCATAAATTGAATCACTGGCTATTTGTCACACACTGAAACATATTATATTTTAAACACAGCATCAAAGTCATATTTTGTAAGCATTTTATATTCCATTTAAAAATCTTCCTCCAATGTTTTATTAAACAAATCTGAACATTTTAGACAGACATGTGTTGTCCTAACAGCAAAGAAATAAACATTCTAATATATAAAATAAGGAAATAGGATGAAACATTTTGGAGATTATGTGCATGCTTTCTTTTAATATTAATAAATTCAACCTGGATGCAATGACTTGAATCTTTCATTTCTATTTTTCTAATAGTTCTTCTATTGCTTGTTTTGTTTAGAGTTTTTTCTGCATTCAAAGACATCTTTATTATAGAAAATTCAAGCAATAGCAAAAAAGAATAAAGAGGAGACAACAAAGATTCCTCTTAATCCCAGCATTTAGAGATAACCATTATTTATATTAATGATACATTTACATTATTCCAAAGTTTGCTCATTTTCTGTTTTCTTTGTATGTTTCATTTGTTTCTGTATATTTTTCCCCGCCCTCCATCTTTTCCTTCCTTCCTTCATTCCTATTTTATATAGATAACATTATGCTAAACATGATGCTTTACAGCTTTTCTTCACTTAACAATAGGACATGAACATCACTTTATATCAGTGAGTATAGATACTCATTCTTCTTTCAATGCCTACAGAGTATTACATTGTAGAGATATATAACAAGGTATTTTATCAGCCTCTTATGGGTAGACATTTTGGTTGTCTCTAATATTATGCTTTCATAACACAAGGGTGCACTGAAAATCCTTGAAATAATTATGTATTGAGCACTTTCTCTGTGCCACACATCATTCTAAGTACTTTCAATATATTAGCTAATTTCATCCCCCAACAACCCTATGACATAGGCAATATGATTATCACAATTTTAGGGATAAAGGAAAGTGAGGCATAGAGAAGTTAAGTAAGTTGCTCAAGTTCACTGGTTGGGTAGTAGAGAAGCTGGCATTTTAACCTTGGTCATCTAAATCCAGAGTCTGTTCTCAACTTCCATACTATACTGCCATATTTTTACTGGGTTTTTGTTTGTTTTTTGAGACAGGGTCTCACTTTGTAGCCCAGGCTGGAGTGCAGTGGGGCAATCACGGCTGACTGTAGGCTCTATCTCCTGGGATCAAATGATTATCCTGCTGCAACCTCCCGAGTAGCTAGGACTACAGTTGCACACCATCACATCTAGTTATTAATTTTTTTTTTCAGTAGAGATGGGGATCTCGCTGTGTTGCCCAGGCTGATTTCAGACTCCTGAGCTCAAGTGACATTCCTTCCTCAGCACCCCAAAGTGCTGGGATTACAGGCATGAATCCCAACCATTTTTCCTGTTTTTATACACTTGCCTGATTATTTCCTTAGGGTAAGTTCCCAGAATTTGAATTTCTGAGATAAAGTATATACACATTTAAATTTAACACAGGTTGCCAAATTTCTCTCCAAAAAGTCTTATGGTGCTGACATTCACACAGTACTTTATAGTTTTAAATGGTGTTAGGAACAAAGTGGAAATCTCTGGAGCCATTAAAGAGACCTAGGCTTGAATCTGCTCTATTAATTACCGGGCAAGTTACTTACCTTCTTTAAGCTCTAGGTCCATTATCCCTAAAATCAGGACAGTAATACTTACTTCACAGGGATGTAATACAGGTTATAAATGTCTATAAAAATCATCTACCATCTCTCAAGCATAAGAAAGTCTCTAATCATAGCTGTTGTTACTTAATACAAATTATCTCTTGATTCATATACGAACTTCTTATTGGACTGGGCACATTTTATTACTAGCATCTATTTTAATAATTTTAATTTTGTTTGTAAATATAACTTCTGAGCCACATAGTAGGCAGGGATTCTATATTAAATGCAATTCAAATTTAGCAATCTTATATTTCCCACATGAAGCCATTATGTTTTCCTTTTAGATTTACATGTTTAATTCCTTCTCAGCAGTATTGAGGAAGTATTAAGTATATTGTCTAGTATCCAAAAAAAGGCATCTATGGGTTGCTTTTTAAAATTAAGAAAACAGTTTTCAACATGGTACAATGATTATTACCATTGAGGAAGGGAATTTGGAGACCATAGGGTGAGAGTAAGGAGAGCTCCTTATTTTGTATACATACATCTGCGACCGAGACAATCACTACAGAATCCTTCTCTTCGGAGAGCGTCATCCTGGAGACAACAGAGGTCAGTGTCTGTTTCAGGTAACTATAATTTCCTCTATTAACAGTGGAAATACCCAGCGCAAAAGAAACTGCGGACATAGGAGTATGAAATCATCATTCCATACCACAGAGAAAAACACAGTTTAGCATGCATTCTATGCTTATTCCTATGTTTGGGTTAGTCTTATGGTAATAAAATGAGTGTTTGAAACTGTATTACAAAAATAATCCAAACTGTGTTAATTTTTATCACATATTTCATTTTCTTTTTGAGGAAATTTGCAGTGGATTGTTAGTAAAAGCACTAAATAGACTCCAAGACGTTCTCATATTAAAAGATTTTGGTGTAGCGAAAATAAAACTAACCACTTCCCACTTACTATAGCTTCATCTAACTGGGTATAAAATGTCACATATTGGCAGATTCTCTCTTCTTTTCCTAACAAGGCACTGGGACTCAAAACAGGAAAAAATCACTATGAAATATTTTCATCTGTGAAAAAAATGCATGAAGTAATTTCTAAATGATTTGATGGAATGAATTCACACCTCTAAGTAACTTTTGTTGCCCAAGAATAGCTGGAGCACTAGAGCTCCAAGATGTACACATCTTGGATGTACGGGTGCAGCTAAGATTGAGGCTACCAATCCTAACTATACCAGTACCTGGACGTATGGGCTTAGGCAAGATATACAACCTCTCCAGCCTGATGTCCCCACCTTTAAGGTAGGGATAAGGACTTCCAGAATGGCTAAGTGAGAAGCTCAGAAAATCCTCTTTCTAGAAAGCAGTAATAAAACTGGAAAAAAAAAAAAAAAAAAAGGTCAAAACAGTCATTTCAGTGCCCTGATAAACTGAGAAGTATTTATTTAAGAAAAACCGTGGAACTTTGGAAGGAACAGCACGAATCAGTGTTTCTCTGATTGCCACTGAGTTTGAACATATTCTCATATGTTTATTGGCTTTTTTTTTTTTTTCTTTGAGATGGAGTCTCACTCTGTCGCCCAGGCTGGAGTGCAGTGGCGCAATCTCAGCTCACTGCAACCTCCACCTCCCAGGTTCAAGCTATTCTCCTGCCTCAGTCTCCTGCGTAGCTAGGATTACAGGTGTGCACAAACATGCCAGGCTAAATTTTGTTGTTTCAGTAAAGACAGAGTTTCACCGTGTTGACCAGGCTGGTCTCAGACTCTGACCTCAAGTGATCTGCCCACCTCGGCCTCCCAAAGTGCTGGGATTACTGGCATGTGCCACCGTGCAGGGCTACATATTGGCTTTTGGATATTCTCTTTTGTAAAATCCTTGTTTAAGCTCTTGCCCGTTTCTCTAATGAGTTGTCTGCATTTTTCTTGTTGATTGTATTGATACTCCCTATATATTCTGAATCCGAGCCCCTTGTCAGTTATATGTGTTATTGTTAAATATTATCTCCCACTCTTGGTTCCCTTTTCTTTGTTTTGCCCCTTGATGAAGAGAAATTCTTAATTTTTATGTAGTGCAATTTGTCATCCATTTTCTTTATTGTTTGGGTTTTCTGGGTCTTATTGAGAAATCTTTGCTTATCTTCAGGTCATAAAGACATTCTCCTGAGTGATTTTCTAATCGTTTATTGTTTGCCTTTCATATTTAGAGCTGCAATCCACCTGGAATTGATTTTTATGGATAGGTTGAGGCAGGAATCAAGTTTCAAGCTGTAAGCTACAGTATAAAGGCAATTCCTGGAATGGCTTACATTGCATTTACAAGAGTTTAAAAGGCTCTTAGTGACCTGGTCCTGATCTATCCCTTTTTTTCAACTACCCACACTTTTCGAATTGACCAAATACCACTCTCACTTCGAAGCCTTTGCACACGCCATTCTTTTTGCCTAGAATACTCTTCTTCGTCTAGTTTCCTTTGATAATTCTACTTATTTCTCAGGATTCAACTAAATATTAGTCATTGGATCACAAATTGTTACTTAATCCTTTCACCAGCTATGCATTCTTACCTTATCTTTCATAGTACTCATCACCCCTTCGGTTGTTACTCATTCCTATCTAGAATGTCAGCTTGGTGACAGCAGAGACACCTTCATGTGTGCTTACATTATAAATCCAGCACTAACATAAAGACTGCCACATGGTAATGATAATAAGTTGAAAATGAACAAACAATAAATGGGCAAGCCCCTTTATTATTTGGCCTGCGTCCATGGTCTTGCTACTTATACCCTTCAGCCCCAGTTGTGCATGCAAGACACACATCCTTTCTAGGCCTTCTTACCACCTGACTTTTGCACGTTTCTTTTCCTCTGTCTGGATGACCACCCTCTACTTTCCGCTGTCCACCGCCCACCACTTTCTTACTTATTCTATTCCAATTCTTTTACCCTTCATGTCGCTTATATGACTCTTCTTCCAGAAAGCATAGCATAGGATTTTGGCTCCACTCTGGTATTTCCCTTATCACAGCACTAGTCACTTTATATTATAATTACCTTATCATTTGGCTCTATGAAGGTGGGGTCTATGTCTTGTTCACCCCATATCCCAGGGCCTAAGAAGTGCCCAGAACAGTGTAGAAGCTTATTAAATGAGGAGACATGGAAGAATTCACAGAGAAGTTGTCATTTAAGCTGAAAAGTCATGTTGGATAAGGGAGTCACATTACAAATCAGTTATGGTTTGCCAGAGGAGGTATGTTCATTATAGGCAGTGGTTAGCACATGCAGAATATATGAAGCTTGTCCTATCTGTTCTCAAAGAGCTTGGCCTGTCTGTGAGAACTGCAAGTGGTTTGTGGTTTCTGGAAAGGAGAGGCATGGCAGAGACTGAAATTTGAAAGATATAGTCTTTTGTGCATATACCCTGCCAAGGGGCTAACTTCACCTCATGTGCACTGAGGGTCTACTGAAGGATCTTAAGCAAGAGTCAAGTATGATCGGTGATGAATTTTACTAACATATCTTTGAGGAAAGTATGAAGAATGGATTGATTTTGGTGATACCAAAATCACGAGAGAAATTACAAATATGTTTCCATAAACCAGGCAAAAAATGATGACGAGATCAATAAAAAATAGTTACAGAGGGGCTTCAGAAGGCAGAAATTATCTGAGATCTATTCAGAATACAGAATAAACAAGACTGATGATGGATTCCCTAGTAGACCTTGCCACAGGCTTCAATCCTCTTACATATGTTTCATGTGTTAGGAGTTTTTTAGTTGCCTGTAACAGAATCTTCCTTATATTGCTTCTGGTAATTGAGAAAAGCCATCAAAAGGGCCTCAGAACAAGGATAAATATATACAGCATGATGGAAGATCAGGAAATAGTTGGGGAATTAGAAAATTTTTCTGGATTTAACACAGCTCCAATAACTGGGTTACCTCAACCCTCCGACTCCCTATACAAGAAGGTCTATTGCTTCTCCCAAACACCACCCTAGCTCTCCCTCCTTCCTTTCACTCTGTGTCATGGGCTTCCGCTTACATTTGATGATGCTTATGCAAGGCTATGCTTATTCTTGGTATCTAATATCTTATCACTTCTATGCATTGTTCTTCTTGCTTGCGTCTTTCAACTTTTCATCATCCTACAAACTGTAGCTTTTGTACTTTCTCATACATTCACACACACGTATGCATGTATTTGTATATACAGGTAAAGAGTTTTACAAGTATGAACTCAAGAAGTTTCTTAATTTCTCTAAGCCTCAGTTTTTTCAGGTGTAAAAAACAGATGACAATAATAGGCCCTATTGCATTGGATTGTGAAGATTAAATGAGATAATGTAAGAAAACATAGAACTCAGTAAGTGGAACACAGAACGCAGTAGATAAACGATGTCATCAGAGGCATATGATACAAAACAACACTACTTCGTCCTCTGGAACTGTCTAGAACAGAAGTCAGCAAACTTTTTTTTTTTAAATAAAGGGGCAGATAGTGAGCAGTTTTGGCTGTTGGGTTATACCATCTCTGTTGCAACTACTCAACTCCGCCATTGGAGCACAAAAGCAGACATAGACAAGTAAATGGATAAGCATAACTATGTTCCAACGAAACTGTGTGTTAAAACATGGAGCCGATGGGCCTGGCCTAGAGCGACTCACTCACTGGAATGAGTGAGGTTTATAGGAATGGCAGGTATCCTGAGGCTTAGCTTAATATTCCTGCTTCAAACTCCAAAGCTTCTTGTCTTGTATACCTGGTGAACCTGAACTTATGTGTCAAGGCTTACCTCAAGCATCACCTGTTCTATAAAGCTATTACTGACCTTGGTCTCCAGAAAGACTGGGAAATAGGAAAATAACCAGGTAAGCATAGATTTACCAAAACCAAGGAGAAAAAATTTGCCAGACATTTGGCATATGCTTAGTTATATTTGACTTATATTTCTTATTTTCAAAGCGTTTGCATTACGTTAAATTTGAATTCAAGTCACCAAATGTTTATGAAACTATTATTTTCTGCCAGACAATATACTGACTTCCAGTAATCCAAATTAATGCCAGATAGGCTGGTAGTCTGCGTATCAATCTAAGATATTAATGGGTTACATCTTAAAACTTAAAAGTATGTCCCCAAAGATCAAAATACCTGTATTTAATTTTCCAATTCTAAGTTTTCTTACCACCAGTTTTCCCTTTGCCAATGATTACATCAGGATAAATTCTGCCTTCTTTCCTTATATGAGGAAAAAAGAACTTTAAGTCTTCAAATGTATTAGATACTGTTTCATTTTTATTCAATATGTCTGCTTTCTGTGCAACTGAAAGAAAAAAAAAATAATGCTTCTGAGTATATGATTATAAGGATTTTTCTCCCTCTGGAATAATTTTTTTAAAGGGGTGTTAATAAACTCACAGATTCATTTAGCATTCAATATATAAAAGAAATACTCCAAAATGTAAATTGTCAAAATAATAATGCTAAAAATATAGCTCAACTATTATTGATTCATATTTATTTATAAAGTAATATTTAATTTAAGCCTAGAATTATAAGATACATGGAGGACAATAGAACTGTCAATTCCAAATGAAAGAGGTATAACTGAAACATGCTATAATTGGTTTACTCTACTACTTTGATTAATATCACTTTATTAAATTTGTATCTTTATAGCTTTGCTTTGTAGACCCTAAAATTTAATGACTGTATTTGTAACCTTCATTAGAATTTGCCTCTACAATTTTGAAAAAGAAAATGTTAGAGGACACACATTGCCCAATTTTAATTCATAATAAACAATGTAGTAAAAACAGTGTCATATAAAAAATAGATATATAAACAATGGAACAGACCATAGAATACAGAAGTAAGTTCACAAAAATATGGTTGACTGACTTAAGACAAAGTTGCAAAGGTAACTGCAGAAAAGACAGTTGATAAAGGTGTTTGAACACTTGGACATCTATGTGGAAAAAACTGAACATTGACTTGTTTTTCATGCTGTTTATAAAAATTAACTTAAAAATGTTCATAGACATAAATGTAAACCATAAACCTATGAATTTTTAATAAAGAAAAACAAAAAAGAAAACCTTCATGACCCTGAGATAGGTAAAGAGATCTTAGATACAATATAACAACACAAAAAACAAAATACATAAAATAAAAATTCACAAATTAGACTTCATCAAAAATTAAAAATGCTTGCCCCTGAAAGCATCATAAAGAGAATGAAAGAGTGTCACCAACTGGAAGAAAGTATTTCCAAGTCACATATCCATCTGATATGTATCCAGGATAATGTGTAGCACTCTCTTAAAACTCAGTGAGAAAACAAAATCACCCAATTAAAGAAATTGGCAAAACAGGAGTTTGAGAACGGCATGAGCAACATAGCAAAACCCCCATCTCTAAACACACACACACACACACACACACACACACACAGTGGGGCATAGTGGCATGTGCCTGGAGTCCCAGCTGTTCAGGAGGCTGAGGTGGGAGGATCCCTTGAGCTCAGAGGTGAAGGCTGCAGTGAGCCATGACTGTGCCATTGCATTCCCCATTTGAACGGACATTTCACCAAAGAAGACATCTGGATGACAAATAGTAAAAATGTTCAACATCATTAGTTTCTGGGAAATGCAACATAAAGCTATGAGATATCATGACGTTAGAATGGCTATAATAGGACAGGCATGGTCCCGTAATTCAGCACTTTGGAAGGCTGAGGTGGGAGGCTTGCTTGAGGCCAGGAGTCCAAGATCAGCCTGGGCAACATAGAGAGACCCCATCTCTACAAAAAATAAAATTAGCCAGGTGTGGTAGCACATGACTGTAGTCCCAGCTACTTGAGAGATTGAAATAGGAGGACTGCTTGGGCCCAGGAGGTGGAAGCTGCAGTGAGCCATAATTGCTCCATTGCCCTCCAGCTTGGGCAACAGAGCAAGAGCCTATTTTTAAAAAATGGCTATAATAAACTGGAGTGACTAAAACTCTCATACATTGCTGGAGGGAGTGAAAAATGGTACAGCCACTCTGGAAAACAGTATGGCAGTTTCTTATACAATTGAACATATACTTACCTATGCCCTATCAATCCTACTTCTACATATTAATTGTAAAAAAATTAAAACTTATCTTCATACCAAACACATGTCATAAATGCTTATAGGAACATCTATTTTTAATTGCCCAAACCTGAAAACAACCCAAATGCCGTTCAATTGGTGACAGGATAAACAATATGTCCATTGAACATTGATACAATGAAATGCTACTCAGCACTAAAAACAGAACAATTGGTCACACGACAATTTGGGTGAATTCTATGCTAAGTGATAGAAGCAAGTTTCAAAGGGTTACACATTGTTTGATTGCATTTGTATGGCTTCTGGAAAAGGCAAAGCAATAAGAACAGAGATCTAATCAGTGGTTGCCAGGGATTAAGAGTAGGGGGAGGACTGGAGTACAAAGGGGATGCACAAGGCAGGAATTTTTGCCCTGGAGAAATGGAAAGCCACTGAAGGTTTATATGAGAAAAATTAGCTGTATGTTACTAGTCACTCAGATAAAGCCGGAAGGTTGCCTGACTAATGTAGCAGAAATGATGATAGAAAATGTGGACAAATTTTTGAGATAGATAGAATGGTGAACCAACCAGGATTGCTTATTACTGACATGGAAGTATGCAAGAGGCAGAGGGAAGGGTCAGAGATGATCCTCAGGTTTCTGGTTGCATCTTTTGAATGGATCGTGGATGGTGGTGCAATTCACAGAGCCGGAAAGCACAGGAAGACTACTTCCTGGTCGAGATGAGAGAAAGTAGGTCAGTGATATCTCTTACCTGATTTTCGCATGTCTCACAACAAAAGAACCAGTACTGATTTAGTTAAGTTTATAGAGAGAAGATGCCCTAAAATCATAAGACATTGAATCTACATTTCCAAAAACAAAACAAAACAAACAAATCACAATATACAAAGACAAAATCAACACAAACCTAAGTTTCCTGACAAATTTTCTCTCTTTGTAATTTCATACTTTATTCGATTCAAAACTTTCATCATCTCTTGGCTATTTTTTTCAGTTTTGTTTCTTAAGTGTAGCATATTTTCTTTGAACTCCAAAATATGGTTTCTACAATTAATTAATCGATTATCTGCAATGAAAATATATGTATATATTTGTACATGTAGCAATGGTGTCACACAATTATCTATAATAGATAAGAATGTAAAATATAAGTTTCAATATAGTTATATATAGTACTATATACGTATTATATGTATATATACACAATACGATATACACATAGTGTATACTACACGTGTAAATACATGCATAGGTACAAATATAAAAGACTGGAAAGAAAGAACAAAATGTTAAATATAGTGATATGCGGAAGGTGAGGTTATCAATGATTTTTTGCTTTATTACTCTGTGCTCTTCTTTTTTTTCCAAATTTTCCGTGGTATGCGTATATCAGATTTGTATTAGAGTGTAATCCCATTAACCCCCCAAAAATACATCTAAGAAATTATCTGAAGAAAATTATGAGGGATATGTACACAGATTTGGACTAAGGATATTTAACATAGGCCAGTATTTAGCAATATTTTTAAAAATTGGAAACGACCAAAGTGCCCAACAGTAGGAAATTTGCTAAATAAATTACAGAATATTCTTTTAAGGGTTCTGATGGCTCTGATGTCAAATCATGTATAATATGCTTAATATTTGTGTTATCTGGGGAAAATTACTTAATTTTTTTTTTGCCTCTGCTCCTTTTGGTGTAAATACATACACAAAAATCCCTGCTTCAGAGCTGTTGTGAAGAGATGTAATGATGATGCACATAAACTAAAGTTTCAGGATACAAAATCAACAGTAGAGTTTCTATCCACTAACAACAAGCTATCCAGGAAAGAAATCTATTAAACCACCCCATTTACAATGGCAACAATAAAATACTTAGGAATAAATTTAATCAAGGAGGTGAAAGAGCAGTGCACTGAAAACTATATAATCTGGGTGAAAGAAATTGAATACACAAATAAATGGAAAGATATCACATGTTCATGGATTAGAAGAATATTGTTAAAATGTCTATACTACCAAAACAATCGACAGATTCAATGTAATCCCTTTAAAAATTCCAATTACATTTTTCACAGAAACAGAAAAAGAAACCCTGCAATTCATATGAAACTACAAAAGACCCCAAAAAGCCAAAACAATCTTGAATGAAAAGAATAAAGCTGGAGACATCACACTGTTTGACTTCAAAATACATTGCAAAGCTATGATAATCAAAACAGCATGGTACTGGCATAATAAAAGACACATAGACCAATAGAACAAAATAGGGAAACCAGAAATAAATTCACGCATTTACAGTAACTTGATCTTTGACAAAGTTGCCAAGAACACACAACAGGGAAAGAACAGTGTCTTCAATAAAACTGTGTTGAGAAAACTAGATATCCACATGCAGAAGAATGAAGTTAGATCTTTATTTTAACCTACATACAAAATCAACTAAAAATGGAAGAAAGGCTTAAGTGTAAGACCTGAAACTGTAAGATTAATAGAATAAAACATTAGGAAAAAGCTTCATGACCTTGGTCTGAGCAATGATTTTTCAGATATGACTCCAAAATCACAAACAACAAAAAACAAAATAAATGAATGGGATTACATCAAGTTAAACAAGCTTATGCACAGCAAAGTAAACAATTAACAGAGTGAAGAGACAACATGGATTGAAAATATTTCAACCCAAGAGACAATCTATGGGTTCAAATTTGTCCAGTGGGAGAAAATATTTGCAAACCATACATCTGATAAGAGGTTAATATCTAAAATATGTAAGAAACTCAAACACTCAATAACAAACAAACAAAAAAAGTAAAACATCGGCAAAAGATTTGAATAGATATTTGTCAAAACAAGACAAACAAATGGCCATGTATATAAAAAAGTGCTTTATACCACAAATCATCAGCGAAATGCAAATTAAAACAATGAGTTACCACCTCACACCTGTTAGAATGGCTATCATCAGAGACAAAAGGTGAGAATATGGAGAGAAAGAAACTCTTGCACACTGTCGGCAGGAATATAAATTGGTGTAGCCATTATGGAACACAGTATGGAGGCTCCTTAAAAAATTAAAAATAGAACTGCATAATGCAACAATCCCACTGTTGGGTATGTATTCAAAGGAAATAAAGTCTGTATGTTGGATGGATGTTATGGTTCACACCTGTAAACCCAGCACTTTGGGAGATCAAAGTGAGAGAATTGCTTGGGCTCAGGAGTTCAAGGCCACAGTGGAGCCGTGATTGTACCACTGCACTCCAGCCTGAGCAACAGGGCAAGACTCTGTCTCAAAAAAAAAAAAAAAAAAAAAAAAAAAAAAAAGCAATGGTGATACATTTGGGTTGAAACATTTAATATTTTTCCATTCATCTGTTTTGTCTGAACCAGAGTACACAAGTGGATAGCCTGTGGCAAAAATTGGATAATTCCTCTCCCCTGCTCCAAACCCTCCAAAATATTTCTCGTCACACTTAAAAAAATAACCAAAGTCCTTACCATGTCCCACAAAGCACTGTGTGATCAGTCCTTGAGTTCCTCCCTGGTCTAATTTCCTACCCTTCCTGCCTCACTCTGAGGGAGCCCAGCATCACCCACACTGGCCTCCTTGCTCTTCCTCACATGAACCAAACACTCTCCCACCTTAGGGTTTTGGCTTTTGCAATGTTCTCAGCACTGAATGCTCTTCCCCGATATCCTTTCATTGTTTTATTACATATCCTGTTGTGGCAGGAGGTCCCTAATTTCATTCAGTTTTCTGCTAAGACATTACCACCTCAGGGAAGCCCATCCTGCCATCCTTTGTAAGATAGCACACCCCTCTCCTTCCCTTATTCTTTTTTTTTTTTTAAATACTTTAAGTTCTGGGGTACATGTGCAGAAGGTACAGGTTTGTTACATAGGTATACATGTGCTGCAACCATCAATCCGTCATCTACATTAGGTATTTCTCCTAATGCTATCCCTCCCCTGGCCACCCACCCCCCGACAGGCCCCGGTGTGTGATGCTCCCCTCCCTGTGTCCATGTGTTCTCATTGTTCAAATCACTTATCACCACCTGACTTCATATTATGTATTGACTGCTTTGATGTTTCACTCCAGAGATTTCTAGAATGTAAACTTGAGAGCAGCAAGAACTTTTTACTACTAAATTCCAATGATCTGAAACAGTGACTTGCATGTAGCTCTTATATGAATATATGCTTAATGAATAAATAAATTAACAAACTGAATGGACTTGTCAGTATAAGAACTAATTTTAGTGATTCTTAAACTGAATCATGCTTTAATCAAAAGAACTGCACCTATCCAGACGAGCTTTAAACATTCATATTGTAGATACTATTTGAAGATGCTTACAAACCTCAGAGGGGGATGTAGTTTAAGCCCATGATATTAGGGTTTCCCAGGTAATGTTCTCTTTGCAAAATGGATTGCGTGTTCTGAGTTGATATATCATGGGTGATGCAACCTATGTGGGATTCTACATTGTAGGTCAGTCCCTAGGGATCAATTTAGTAAACATGAAAAGAAAGTTTTCTCTAGAGGAAGCAGTATTTACAGCAACAACCATAAACAAATGTTAAAGGACATAATCTCTAATCTTAGATCTGCTTCTTGTACATTTTTCCCTGGTAATTCATTCATCAATATTCTATTTAAAATATTGAAATTACTTGCATATTTACTCAGGTATTTAGTGAGGATGAAATGTTATAACACTGTTTTGCAAAGGTTTGAAATAAACAATAATGAGATGCTTTGAGTCAATTGGGCATCTCTGTAGTGAAACTGTGAAAACAAACACCAGTTCAAGTGTGCAGTGGGTGAATGTGACTTCTGCACATTAAAAATAGGTTCCAGGCTAGATCCTAAGTGCCACTGCTTTGTGCCTCTCACAGCAAGGCTCCAAGGTGTTGTGTTCCAGTAGAAATAAAATGCAAGCCACATCTGTAATTTAAAATTTTCTAGTAGTCACATTTTAAAAAGTGAAAAGAAACAAATGAAACAAGTGAAAGTAATTTTAAACAATGTATTTTATTTAATACAATATATCCAAAATGTCTCAACATAAAAGTAAACAATGGGCTATTTTACATTTTTGTACTAAATATTCTAAATCCTGCATGTATTTTACACTCACAGCACATCTCAATTCAGATGCTAACTTTTAATAATTATAGTGAAATGTAATCCTACCAAAACAGTACAGTTTTGCTTAATGGAGAAATATTTTGCACAATTTCAGTTATTAAATGTAGACTCAAACTAGTTAAAATAAATTAAAAATGCAGTTTCTCAGTTGCACTCACTAGCTGCATTTCAGGTGCCTCAAAGCCACCTGACTATCATGCTGGATGGCATAAGTCCCCGGCATCAGCTATGAGCTTGTTAGAAATGCAGTATATCAGGCCTCACCCCAGACCTACTGAGCCAGATTGTGTGTTTTAATAAGATTCCCAGTTGACTGCTATGCACATTAAAATTTGAGAACGACTGTGACAGACCACTTTCATGGTTTTCTCTTTATCATCATTGGTACTACCATAGTTCAAGCTTTATTGCCTTTAGCTGTACTATTATAATTGCCTCTTAATTGGTCTCTCACCTCCAATCCCTGATTAATCTTCTGGAAACACTGCTCAAAGACTATAAATAGTTCCCTGAGTGCTTACTTGCCTTGGTCTACCAGATCCTATACAACATAGCCATGAACGTGACTTGACCTCACTTCATTCACTAAACATCTCCAGTAACAAGAAGCATGCTGAGATTTCTATTCTTCCATTACATACTTGCCATGTGCTATGTGGTAGGTAAATAAACATGAATAAAATCTGGTTCCTGCTCTAAATTAAATTGGTACGAATAAAATCTGGCTCCTGACAATCAGGCTGCAAGGAATGTGGGAATGGTGCATATTTTTAAACTTGACTAATTATAATATATTGTTAAAATGGAATTATTCTCAAAGTGCCACAGGCACAGGAAGGCAGGAATGATTAATTCTTAAGGAGAACTGAGGAGTAGGGCAGGTGGAGAAGGTTTGAGAGAAGAAG